AATTGGTTACTTGTGAATAGACCAAAAACCATTTCATTTTCTCACTTTACATCTATTCGGTTGACACCCACGTTCACCTCATACTAGACCCAATGTTTCAGAACTCATAAAGGTTCATTGGGCTGAACCGTCTTTCAATTTTTTTTGAATTAGAAAAAAATATTATTGTTGGCAAGAACTGTTGGTCGAGTTCATACTATTCCAATAACTTTATTTAGAAGAATATGAGTCATACTTCAGAAAATCAGCAGCTGGACTACAGACCCGTCAAATTTCTAAAGGCAATTTCACAACTGTTATTGACTGGAAGAATAATACAAGTTTGTTTTTATTAATGGATGTTGACATAAATATTTGGGAGTATTGATGCAGCAATTGATAAGACGTGATCGCATAAATTATATTACATATAAAAAAGGTTTTACGGCAGAATCCATTGCATGGAATAATTTTCCAGGTTAACTTTTTTTGAGAATACTTGTGTACCGAAAAGCAGAAGGAAATAATAGGCCATTGAAGCGACAGAAATAGGAAAAGAAAGTAATTGGAAGCAGCAATTGTTAAAATTTTTTTTCCTCACTGTAGGTTCGAAGCTATCGGTCATATTTATTTGTAGGATATTTACACTTACCAAATCGACTAGCTCCCCGTGGCTGCATCAGAACTACTGTCCAGATTGCGTATTAAAGTTAAGGGCATCTTATTCTCCAAGGCAGACTTCGTTTGGGTACTCAGATGTTTTAGCTTTATATTATTGGGAGAGCATTACGATGAACATGACTGTCTTTAGTGAATAAAAGTTTTAAAGTTAAAGGGTTATTTATAGGGACGCCACAGAGCAGGGTCCTGACTGGCTATGGAGGGACACGTGATGTCATTAAACTTTGTTTTATGGTTTGGGAGTTGACAAGCCAAAATATAATTCACATCATATATTAGGTTAAGAGCAGACAAGTGCAGATGGTTAGTGTTTTTTGAGAAGGTCTATGGAAAGTGACACCAAGAAGCAAGCTGTCCTGTTCCACCGTTATGACTTGGCAGTCTTCTGGTGTCCTGATACTTTCGCACTGGAAAAGCCGCAAGTAAGTTATTTCTAATCGCTAAAAGAGCTGGTGAACGCGTGACACCTGATGTCATTCGGAGCTCTTGAGCGCATGTACGATTTCTTGGCCAGCCAAAAAAACCGAAATCACAATGCAACGTGAGTTTAATTCAACAGCTAGCTGTTACATGATACGTGTTCAGTTAGGGAAATTATATCGCAATACTATAGACAAAGTGTACTTTATATATGTTCCTAAATATCTAATTATAATTTCAAATGCATAATCATAAACAATGTGTGTCATAATTCTGTTTAACTATTAAATGAAAAATGCAGAAATAAACTATGGATTTTATCTAATCCTTTAAGCAAGTGTACGTGGAATTCTTTATTTAATAAAAGAACCTTGTGCTGCTTGATCACATATAGTTGATATATAATTTTCTTAGACCAGCTTTGGGAACTCGCATTGTTCCTGCGTAAATGTACGAGATTAATTGAAAAAAAAAATCTGCTTGGGCAGTGTAAACTGATTTGAGAAATAATTCTGCAAGTTTAAAGAAGAGTAAAATATCTACTGCACATTCTTTGCCGATTTTCCTCCGTACTAATTTGCTGAGGGTGTATGACATTTTCAACGCATTTGTCCAGTTATTAATGTCACAGTTTCGTCCAGAGTCTCGAGGATTTTCTAACTGATCTAATTCTGAACAATTTGTACCAGAACTATGCTGCCCAAAGTATTTTCTAATAACATCTGTTGCAAATCAACTATTCAATATGAAAAACGCTGTAATAAGAACACACTGCAGTCGGCGAGACCTGGTTAGATATTCTCACTGAGTGAAGCAAAACGCAGTGAACTAACACTATTAATTGGTTTTGTTATACATCGATAGTAGCTATGGCTAAATGTTACTTGAAACTCTGAATGACGTTGCAAGTTTTAAAGTTGGGTAGGTGGGTGGCGGGCTACGAATTAATAAACAGTGGAAGATGGGATCTGAAATCACCATTTTCCTTCTAATAAAAATGAATAAATATTAAACATGACAGGGGCAGGTTCTGCCCAAACAGCTGAGTCGATGGATGTTTAAGTTGAAAAATGAAATTGGGTCACTACAGCCATAAATAATTCGGATTTTTTTTTAATAGGTACTTTTGTCCTTTTATCCTAGTTGAATTGATTATTACATAACTTAAAACAAAATAAAAATAAAAATGTAGAAATTCTTCGAAGTTAGAGAAGTTGGCATAGCGACACGAGTGAAAGCAATTTCTGCTTTAAATGTTCGAAAAACGGCAACTGACGAGAATACCAAACAGAACACTGAGAAAAGGGACAAGCCAAGATATACGAGAAAATATTTGAGAATGGATTACTGTCCACACAGGACTTTTTATTAATGTCGCTTATCATTACAGATCGATATTTTAAGCTTAAGGATGTAATGTAGAAGTTCAACGAGTGGTCATGTTAACTCATGAAGGGTTTAAATGTGCATTTCCAGATACAATTAACAGCTAAGACAACGTATAGTCAATGTTGAAATTACAGTTTACCTAGAATATATGACAGTACATGTCATACTAAATGCTTAAACAATTTCAAAAAACCGGCAATGTCAAGTTAACTGGTAGGCCAAAAACAAACGATCGATTGTTACTTGAAATTCTGTATGCAAAAATACAGATCTGCTTTTATAAAGTTATTTTATGGATCAAAGTGAAAATTTTTACCTTTGAAAATAACGTAATGAAGATAGAGAATCTGAACTGGTGAAGTTTACAGTATTTCAGTTTCTTCATGAGTAGTTTGGATAAGAAAGTCCATGAGTTTATATGTTGTATTGAACTCCATCTTTGATGTGTCGTTCACTTAAAGTTAACTGCGAATCTAATTTTTAAAAATATTTTATTACAGATTTGGCAGAATGGAGGAGACTCTTTCGTAAGTAACTGTGTGTTTTCTCTTAAATCGTGACGAATAATTGGACGCGATTAATTGTTTCGAATGTGGTTTGGATGGAAAACGAGATGGTCACATTGTGTGTCTAAATGGGAGCATTAGCCTGGATTCTAAAATGATTCTCGAAACAATTGTGTGTAACTTACGTTCTTTACGATTCTTTGTTTAATTTGTACAACAGCGTAGAAGAAATGATGTTACATTCATTTTCCCTGAAAGGAACAAGATTCTTAAAGATACAGAGCAAATGCAGATAAACTTTAATCGTGTTTAAATCTTACTGTGATAGTGTCGATCCAAAGCCAGATTTAGTTGGCTTGTTATTTTGCACTGGTGCTGTTCAACACAGCGCCTCCCAGTGCAAGGCTGTATCTCCAAAAGGTCATTTGGAGGAAAATTATTGTTCCGGTTTTAATAACATCTGTAAAATCGTTTCGTCGAGTGACGTGGCAGTAATTAAAGCCGATATTTAAAGTGTACTCCTTTAGAGCCAACAGAGGCATGAGAACAACTGCAAATTCCAAACCTCTCCAGGTTTAATACCACAGCCACTGTAAACATGTAGGCCAACAGCAAGCCTTATGGCTGCCAGTTCATTAAATAAACTGTTCATTTAACTAACCAGGGCATTCCTTTTCATGGATTATATCGGCTAGGCTTACCTTTCTATGATTTCATATTGCTTTTTGTAACGGTTGACCAGGTCGTTGGTAAAATAATTACTTATTAAAAGCTTATATTACTCATTGTAACATTTGTTACTTTTTAAATGAAAGTAGGCTTCAGTACTTTCTCGTTGTTTTGTTAACACTGAATGATGTAGTTAATGAAATGGCTTATTAATAGGTTCACAAATATAATGTGACGCTAATATTTCGAAACTGCACATTTAAGGGAAATGTGACAATATCAAAGTAGCCAAAACCGAGAACGCCCCACATCAAATTAGACAGGTTCAAGACCTATACTTTCAAAGGGACAGTAAAGCATCTTGAGTAAATTATAATTTAGCTATCAAAAGCCAGTAATAGAAATGTTTATATCCTGTCTTTTCCACATCAGAGACTGTCAATGTTTCTTTTCACCGTAGGTCTACGATTGCTTTTTCACCTTAGCTAATTATAATCACTGCTAGGATATTAAGTTCAGACATTTATAGATTCCAGTCCATCTTTACACATAATATCCGATACTATTTTCCCTTCAAGTAACGGCCTAAATAAGTCACGAGATAAACGTCAAACAAGGACTCACTTTAAATAGGTCCAGATAATGTTTAACCAGTATTCGCAAAGCAATGGGCCAGCGCAGTGGATCCTTCGTTTCAGCACGAAGTTTTACAATGCGAATCTTTAGGCGTTGATATGTAATCAACAGTAATTGCTACTGAAAAGCAAAACAGTCTTGCTTATGCTGCACGGACCTCTGCAAGAAAATGACTTTCTGGGTCACTAGAAAGGTGAACTTTTTAAAAATTCAATTTTGTTTTTCTTTAATTGTTGTACTTCTACGTAGGAAGGCCTTTAGCAGACTCATGACAATAACAGCTTTCATTGAACCACTGAATCTATGAATAAATATAGGGTTCACTTCCCAAACACTTACTTTGCATTGACATTCTCTAGGTCAAAATCTGGAAGATCAAAAGTCGCAGCACTTGTGTGGGCAGTTAAAAAAAAGAGGTGAATTTTAATCGGGTTTGTTCATCAATAACTCTTTGGCATTGACCTGTCTGAACGAGTCGAGCAGTAAGGTGAAATGCAGGTCACAGCGTCTAACAAATATTAAAATGCGTAGTACCAATCAGCTTCACAATGTGCGATAATTTGAACTGTAGGGAGAATTGGCTTTCGAATTATCGGCTGTTGCAACGATATCTGGGATTTTGTTTGCAAAAAGGCTTTTAAAAGCAGAATTCACTGCTGGTGTATTCGTTGGCGTCACTGGTTGTGGAAAACAGTTTAGCTCTTTTCTTTCCTAACGCATTGGGGTAAACGAAAAAAAAATCACAGGTAAATAAGATAAAACTTTTAGAGAGGTTAGTTTTTCTTGCAAAGGTAAAATAATCTAAGCAGCAACTTATTTAAGGCTGAAGTATAGATTTGAACGTTTGTAGAGGATTATTTTGGTTGCCCTACAATAAAACGTGGATAAACCGAGACCTTTGTTGTGCTCGACAGAAACAGCAGATAAATCAGGAACTGGACATACACATTTACTGTCAGAAAGTACAGTTTCAACGTTATTTTGTTAATCACCGCATCTCAAAGCATTTAAGTGTAATGTTTGTACTGTTGAATACACTTACTCTTTTTTCGTTGGCGCACGTTTATAATTATTCTCAGTCTGTTTCGCGTGTGCCTTTTTTTTGAAAAAAAAACTAGAATATATGAAGAGAATTACTGTAAACTTAGCTGAACAGTTAGTAAGGCAAAATTCACACACTTAGAAAAGGTCAGCGTGTGACATTCGCTAAAGTGAAAATAATAATGCAACTTTCCGATGTGTTTGTAAATGATTTCAGTCTGACCCCGTGCCCTTCAGCCTTTAACACAAAACGCGGTGGCACTGCAGGGACATTGGAGAGAGCAAACTAAGGAACCTACAATGCACTCGAGTTTAGAAACCACCTTAAACATGAGAGGCAAATGGAATCCTGATTTGTTGGCAGATTAAATTGTATATATTTTTTCTTGCATATGGCGATCCAACTGACTTGTGTTAATTAGATGTGGAAGCATACTGTCTGCAGTATTATTTGATCCAGCTCTCAGGAAATAGTAGAGATTAGAATAGAACAAACAATCGTTATTTTCCTGGGCTGCTATCACTTTATGAAAGAAGCAATAAATGGAAAACACTTCGAAATAAACCAATATTTGCGCTCCCATGTATAACTTGTATTTGATTAGATTTAGGAATTGTTTAGGCCGGGCGATGTTTGTTATAACATCCTGCGGTTTGTTAGTGGTGAGTTCAAATTATTAGCATCTGGAGCAATTATTGATTCACGCTGGGGCACTTAGTAATGTTAGCTGGAGCGGATCGGTACAAACTGTTTCCTATAAAATCTCTGTGAAATACCCAGGGTTCATAAACACAGTAACAAATAATAACTTCTGCCTTGTAGACTGTACGCCCAAGCCCGCTCTGCACGCTGATTCATGTTGCTGTCACTGTCGAACATAGAAATGTTTGCTACCACCTATTAAATATAAAACAATGACTTCTGTTATTTTTCAATGGATAACCAGTTTAAAAGTTTAACAAGCGCTTTGTCTGAATTTTGCTTGCTTAGTTATTGATAGTAGGCCACCATTAATTATTTGGAGATCGCTTGCAAGTGCAGTCTTTTAAAGCACTTTCCCTTATTGTAATTAGTCACCGAATTTGTTTGTAACCCGTCGTCTATATATACCCTGTAGAACCGAATTTGTGTGATGTTTCGGTCACAGATTCGTTTCTAGGGGAGTCTATGGTCGATGCCAACACTACGAAAATCAGCAATTTGCTCTTCGTGGGCTTTACTGCTTCGACTGATTTATTTCTAAGTAATACAGAGTAATTTGATTAAGAATGACCTCTTTTTTTTGTTTTGAATCCAGTTTTCAATATTGAGTGAGGTTTTAGATCTTGCCGCTCAGCTTTGAATGGTTTATTTTGGCTTCCCTTCGCAATCGAACTGCAATGTTTAACGTGTTGATTTACTGATCATTAGTCAGAATGTAGTCGTTTCTACACTTCCGGATTTACTCTCAGGAAATCTAAGATTACAGAAACTTAAGTATTTCTTTCTGAATGCTGCCCGTTTCCATGACGATGGCGATAAATTATCTACAAAGATTGGCCTGAGGTTTCGTATTGCGTTTGACTAGCTTACGATGCTTTTGAATTAAATCGGATCAAAATACATTTTAGGCCAAAAGTTAAAATTCGAATTGTACATATTACAAATACAATAGTTAATTGCTGCGTTAATTTAGAAAGATCATAGATGTGCATGGATGCGAGAGGAGAAAAACAAATTGTGAAGAAATTGGAGCAAAAACGCTTGAGGCCATCGGATATAAAACTTATATTCTACTTTGTAGATTTTTAAACTTTCAGAGAAAGTATCTTTGATCTTACAATGTCCTTAAGCAACATGTGCAAAGTGTTTTTTTGTGTTGCAGGATGCTTTGTTCTAAATTTATCGGAGTAGACTATGTTTGTCTTTGAATAACTTTGTCCAGAAGACCTTCCTGCATCGGTAACAGCTGTAATTATTTTCTTCAGCTCTGTTATTCTTTTTGTTGTCTAACGGGATGCTTCCTTTGTCACCCTGCGTACGCTGGATTGCCGGCTGTTTCTCCAAGTTCCCTCGCTATTGTCACGTTACTATCGGGAGAAAACAACAACAAAAAATACAAAGACGCAGAATGCATTCTCTGTCTTTGATTTATTTGAAAAAAAAAGCAAGGAATGGTGAAAATTCTCTTTTGACAAAAGAGCAAATTACCTGAGCAATATTCGAGCGCTCAGTGAGTGGTCATTATTCTCTCCAAATGGAAACATCTATTGTATGCATTCTCCGGAATCTATTTCAAATACTTAGTGACTGCTGGAAAAAAATCAAAGACGTTGCAGTTTATAATTTATTTTTATATCAAGGTTTTCTGGACGAAGTTTGTAAAAAATTGTCATTAGCTGTTTCCTTATCCGGGAATCGGGCCCGACCTCGCCATTGGCTCGTACAGTCACATGGGTGACTAACTTTATTCAGTTGACAGCAAGTAGGAGGGCTTTATGGAACGGGAAAAAAGACAACTCGAGAAAAATTAGTATTTTCCACCTTCAGAAATTAATGACCATGAGTTCGTATTTGATGAACACTAAATATGTGGATCCCAAATTTCCTCCTTGCGAGGAATATTCGCAAAATAACTACATACCTGACCACTGCCCAGAGTATTACAGTCAGTCGCAGGATTCTGATTTTCAGCACCAAGGAATCTATCCACGGTCAAACTACAGCGGCCAGTCGTACAGCTGCAGCAACGCTCGGGGCTCTCCAGTGCAGCAGAGGGGTCATGTGCAGGCACAGCCCGCTCCTCAGAGCCACCTCACAGGGCAGGGGGAGCCAGTTGCACCGCTCCAAGTGTCCATTGGCCGGCCCTGCAGCCAGCAGCAACATAATCCAAAGAACCAAAACGGTGCAGCAACCAAACAGCCAGCAGTGGTTTATCCTTGGATGAAGAAAATCCACGTTAACACGGGTAAGGACCACTTTCTTTTGGTTTTCACTCCCCTGCTGCAACGCCATCCCTGACAAATATTTGCGACCCATTGATATAGGTCTACCGTAAATAACTCCTTCAAAAGAGGATTTATGAGCGGTTTTTAAAAAGACCGGCAATTACACCCATCATAAATTTTTATTGCTGAGGAAATAGGCCGCTGGCCATGTGGCTGACTCCATGTGAAAACTCGAGCCTGGGATTAACAGGGATATGTTAGATCTTCAATTTCGAAAGAACTTTAAAGTGATCCTTAATAACATTTTTCAACTTCTTGCCAGAGGTACTGTTCCAGTGCAGTGTGGGTGCAGACATTGTATTCAGGACTGTGTAGTGAAAGCATTTGAAAAACTTTAGGTCCAGTTTTGAATGGTTTTGAACTGTTTTGTTTTTCAGTGAACCCTAATTTTACAGGAGGAGAACCAAAACGTTCACGAACTGCCTACACAAGGCAGCAGGTTTTAGAACTCGAAAAGGAATTCCATTTTAACAGGTATCTGACAAGACGACGTCGTATTGAAATAGCCCACACTTTGTGTCTTTCCGAACGCCAGATCAAAATTTGGTTTCAAAACAGAAGAATGAAGTGGAAAAAAGATCACAAACTGCCTAACACAAAGACCAGGTCCTCTGGTTCTTCTGCTTCCAATCAACAGTTACAAACTGTTTCCAAGGACCAACAAACAGACCTCACAAGTTTATAGAAGGACATCTTATAAGTGGCTTCTTAAGTGTATATAATGAAACATTTCCAGGCAGAAATTGCATGTACCGATAACATGGCTTGTAGGTGCTTTCCTGCTGATTTTTAATGGCATTGAAAGGACTTGGTCTTGTGCCTCACTTTTGGTCTCAAATGTAGCAAATGAAACAAAAAGGAGAAAGTCACCCTGGCTGCAGCTGAAATCATTGCGACTCAAGTCAGTGGCTGTTCTTATCATACAACACACCTTATTAACCTTAACAAGTGCGAGGCACTAAGTCGTGAAGACATGGTGAGGTGTACACATCAGGAAGGTACATGTGTAGTCTGCTAGCATGAAAATCAAAGGCTGCGACGCTGGTTCATGGTCTTTTTTTTAATCTTAAAATGAAGACCCAGCGATTTGTTGTGGTAATTTGTGATTTCCACAACTATTTTTGCTTGTAATGTGTATTTTTGCGATTCCATCTCTTTGTGTATATTGTGTTGATATTCGAGATTTATAGTGATCAAGAATTAGACAGTGTTTTGTGGTTTCTTTATTTAAAATGAGAAAATGGTATTTGTAATTGTGCTGCTGGATGGATTATTGTTACAAGCCTACAATGCAAGATTGCGTACATTTTTATGTTCAAGAACGATACCAAAATTAGTACGTGCTACTAAAATTCAAAAAATAAATTTAGTAGTAATAAGCTGAATAGCGTGAGTAGTTTTCATTTTTGGTATCGGGACATGTTTTCTTAATGAGTGCATCTTTTGTTGCGAGGCTGACGTGAACAAATGTCATGAAGAGACCTTACATCAAATAATGCAGAATCCCCAAAAATCTAAGGATCTGCAATTCTGCGCCAAATTTGTAAAGTCACAAACCGATATTAACTAAGGCAACATTTCTGAAAGAGAAATGGGCTTAGCTAAATATTACCACAGTAATGTTCAGGGCGCATACTCTTTTCTCGGTTTATTGGTTGATAAATGAGTAAGTTAGTTACACCAATCTGTGAACGTTTAGTATTACAAGTGGGAATGTGTTTCCTTTCGATTTTCTCCAGAACGGATGAGCGAACAACAATACAACAAGGTACACTGTTTAGAAACAGAAACGGTCTACACCGTGTGTATTTTGCTTTGTGAAAGCACTATTCGTTTTGCCAATCTATTAATCTGTAAAGACACACTGGTGGTTGATTTAGAGGGGCAAGGACAATAGCCAAGAGGCTCTTCAATTAGGCAATTTACACCTAAACACAAATTACTGAAGATATTTTGATTCTAGCAGTTTTAAGGAAGCTAATGTTGTTACAACCAGACGAAACGAGACAGAACTTCCTGAAATACAAGATCGTATGTGCTGTGCCAACATTCTCACGATATCAATCAGAGACACACTGGTATGTCATGGAGATTCAGCATTCAGTTCCTTTATGCAATGTTTTAACACGGTCAATCATTGCAGAGTATCCAGATGTTTAAACGCAATGAAGTGCCCGTTGTGTGTCACTAAGGAAGAGCTCATTAGATATTCCAAATTCAGTACTATTTCCTGATAAAATTACCCCCACAAGCTAAATAGAAAAATATATTTTAAATGCTCACGAAGCCAATGTGGGAACGTTTAATGTCAGGTTTTGTGAGGGGCTGCCCAACCTTTGGATGTACAGCAGCTTCGTCAAAATGAAGCGATTTTTTTCTTCTCTATGAGAGTACCAGTGCAAACAAGGGGAGCGATATAGTGTTTAGTTGCTTTATTACAATTTAAGGTTATCTCCTCACGCATTATTAAATTCACGAACAACTTAAATGTTTTGGATTTAGCCCGTTTTATTTCTTACGTCTGTGAAATTGGAGGTTTCGAAAAAAATGGCTAGTATCCACGATATTGCCTTAAAACAATTAAAGCCATTGGTAAAATGTATATGTAGAGGGAAGAAGTCCGGAGGGGTTCGGGCTAATGGCCTATCTAATCCACTAAAAGGAAACCGAGCCAAAGCAATTCTCAGGAAATCATTATTCGCAATCATGCAGCAATTTAGAGGGCAATGCCAGGATTCCGTCAAAATGCATGAAGTCAAGAAAATCTATTTCCTAGGAATTTCGATGCTCAACTCAATTTCGTAACATTAAGTAACAAAAGAAAGTTGGTGGTGTAGCTCTTTTTCCTATTCCTTCACTGACCTGCAAGCTTGCAGCTGGCTTAGCTGGATATGGTCTGTTTGAAAAGGCGAATTCCATGATTCTTTGTTCTTTATAGGATAAGCCGTGTAGTTCTCAGACTTGCACATGACATTACTATAATATATCCACGTCTTGATATTATAAATGAGTGATATTCTCTATACGATTTAAATCATTGTCTCCAGTACAAAACGCTAAGATTCACGCGTAGCAAGATGTCCTTTTCTGACGCCTTCATGTTGAGAAGCTGAAAAGGTATTTTACTGAAGTTCGGCTAAACTGTAGGAACAGGTTCACCAAAAGGACAAATTTTCTATTCGATTAGTTGTATTTCAGCCTGGAGGACTGACCTCTAAACCCTTGACCTTTTGGACTCAATCCTACTCTTAGCCTTTTCTACGTGTTTTAACACAGACAACATTTAGTTAAAGTCAGTTGAAATAGTTTCTCACGTATGAACTGTTCCAATTTCTGCAGGGACAACTTTTTGCATCTGTTCTGAGACGATAGTATAGTATTGTGCCTCTATGGTGTCTCTAAGCTCTATTTCTATTACTGTCGTCCCTCCACTTTACAGAAGCGACACTGCAACCACTGCCAACACTTTATCTCAAATGATACAGCACAGAAGTTGTTGATTTGTTCAGCTTAAAACTTCACTTAATTTTAGCACAATATGTTCTTGCTGCATTTTCCTTGATGCATGAATAAAAACAGCATTCAGAAACACTCCCAGACATTCATCTTCAAACACTTACTTTAACATTCCCATTAAATTCTTTCACCAAAAATTCACCACAAACGTGGTTTTGGGACATTTATTGATATTTAAAATATTCGAAATCATGTTGACGTTTGTACTGAATAATGGTCTATGATGTTTGTCAGATCAGACTTGAATTCTATTCATACCAGTTAAATTCTATGGCAACATGCATAACAGCAAAATTAAAAAAAACGCAAATCAAAAAAATAGGTATGCAGTTGTAACTAATTCTGTTCTCAAGCACTATTGCATCATGAGCAAAGTCTGCATATTTTTTTCATTATTCATTAATTAAAGAAGGCACATTCTCAAACCAAATGGACAACAGTTCCCTATCATGTTTGTCTTTTGGTCTGACATGTTTTAGTGCTAAATTATAACTCGTAATCATCCCTCTCCCTTAAAGAATCCATTGTGTCTTTCATGAAAGTTGTGTGGAACAGTTTTCTTTCTGTTTACATTACCTCAGGAAAAGAGAAAAGCAAAAGAACTTCTTAAATATTTTGCAATACTTCATAAAACTGTACTCACTGAATTTGAGATTCAATGTGTGAAAATAGCTACAATAAGGATCAATTAATCAGCTGCATATATTGCCTTTCTAAGGTACAAACTAAATTATCTGAGCATACATATACTCAAGGAGGCTGTAAGCAGTATATGACTTTGACTTTTCTATAACACCTATATCCTTGAAAAGCAGCCTTATTTAAAATGCAGTTATCAACAAGGTCAATTGACAATGTCTCATATTCATGTGGCCATGTAATTTATCAATATTTAAACCAGCCAGCCACACATATTAGTGTATGTACTTGTTACAATTTATAATTCAAATGTTTTAAATTCAGAAGCTTAATTATTTTCAAGTTTTTTTCACTATATAATTTGTCACAGATATCAAGTACATAGATATGGGAAGCATGGAACATAAAAGTCAACAACATCATGATTTCTGAACTGTAATATCATTCAAAATTCATAACGTCACATATAATATCAATCACAATCAATCAACATGCATATTTATATCCATTGATGCACAGCTCCCACGGCCACATATAACTCTTATATCTAACTATATCTGTGTATCCATACCTTCTTTTCCTTAGCATGCATATAATTTTATTTGTGTACATATATGCTTATATGCCTGTGTACATGTATACACGTGTGGATATTTTTGTATGTATGTTTACATGTATGTATGAATGAAGATAGAGTCCTGATGAAGGGTCTAGGCCTGAAACGTCGACTCTCTTACTCCTCTGATGCTGCCTGATTAGCTGTGTTCCTCCAGTTCCGCACTGTATCAGCTATGTATGAATGAATATATTTATGTGTAAGTGTGTTTGTGTTTGCGATAATGCATATGTGTATGTACTTATGTCTATGCACATCTAAGAGCAAAATACATGCATTATTTGACTTTAAATTACAATCTCAATATTTAGTTTCACTGAACAAATTCGAATGAACTTAAACTCAAACAAGTAGCGTTCGCCGCATTTTTATTGTTGTATACATGGTCTCGTTACTTCGTTTCTTGTCTGGAAAGAGAAACAGCTGAATGGAAGGCAAAGAGTCAATACGACCATGCCATAGGCTGGTCATTCAAAATGGGACAAAGCTGATGCAACCCAACGCTACTAAACAGCCATATTTGTTAGTCTTTCCTTTTAGAATTTTAAAACATATTTGCCAAGCTAATGTTTCTCAAATGATAAAGAATTTTACAATTTAAGGTTATGTCCAGAGGAGGTGGTAAGATTTTATGTATCCTTTTACATTTGATTCGGCCACGTGATTTACTAAATAATTAATGCAGTACGTCCCGAAAGAAACACGGCGTCGTCATTAATCGGCCAAGCAAAGGACTCTATCACACTTGAAAAGTGAACAGATCCCAAGAATATTATATACAAATGGTCCGCTATTTCACTTTGCTGTTGTAGTTCGTTGCAAGAAACTGAAAAATGGAAGCTTGGTAGGTAAACAATTTTAGTTTTGTTTCTGCTAAGATAGCAAATGAATGTAACTGTCATATATATTTGATGAATAGCGCCCTTTGCTTCTTACTCTGTGCTACCAGGCGACAGTCATAAGTTGTAGTAGGCAGATATACTGACCTTCTATTCGGATTAGCTTTAACAATTTGGAGCAACTATGATAAACTTCAGATGCAGAAATGTGTAACGGCTGCATTTTGAACGTGGGGCTAAATGTTAGTAAGATTGCGATGAGGTTATTATTAAGGCGTAGTTGGGTGTCATGAAATGGCGTAGATTTTACGGTTTACTTGCGCTTTATTGCAAACAATGCCGGCTGTCATGGCATCTGCTGCCTATTTGTATACAGCGAAATAGAGGCCTGAGCATTGTTGAATACCACGAGTCATATATTTTGTTTTCTTTGAGAGGCACTGGAAAGTCTGTAAAGGAGATTCCACTAGAACAATTGTAGGTACTCACGTCTGCAGAAACCAGGTTCATGAGCACTTTGTGTTTTTTAAGTCGATATTTTGTTTTAAAAGGTGAAACAAAAGTCTCCTTTGAACAGACTAGTATTTTCTTATCCCAAAAACGCGAGTATTACTTTCTTATAGTCTGTCAAATAATGATCCACAAAGCGAGAAAAGCGTGCTTGACCCGGTTAAAGAATACGTGGTTATGATTTCTACCCAGAACAAGAACA